CCAGGGACAGTCCTTACTCTGGATAGCAAAGATTTAATTTCAAGCATAAGGCAGCCCTGGAAAAGTAACTGACTGCCACTGAGTATTGATGAAGCTAGCACTTACTGCAGGCTGTGGCGGGCACAGTTGCAAACAAGAGCCCCGTTCTAAAGATGGGGAAACTGAGGTATGGGCATTTAGACATCTCAGACCTTACTTCAGGGCCGCTGGACAGGGATCAGGCAGGCCCTGGAGGACAGGTAGTCATAGGAGAGAAGGCAGAGGGACTGGGGCAGGGGATTGGTGGGGTGGTCAGTTCTGGGGCCTGAGCTGAAGGAGTCGGGAGCGGGGCGTGGAGTGGCGTTTCCACGCCGATGGATTTTAGACATCTGTTTCGGGGCGGGGGGGCGAGTCCACCGAGGATGCTGAGTCATGTTGACTAGCGAAGGCGAGGGGCCCGCGCCTCTGGGGCCCCGTGGAGCTGCCGGGGTTGGCTCACCGTCTCCGGGGAGGCCACGGAGCAGGTGTAGGCGGGGTTGAGCGCGGATGGGGCGCGGCGCGGGGGGAGGTGCGCACGCGTGTGCGTGTGGGCCGGCACGTCCGGGTGGGCTGGGCGAGCGCTTGTGCGCATGTCCCCGCGCAGGGTCGGGGGCAGGAGTCCGGACACCAAGCCTTGCAGACACGGAGCCTTGCAGACACCCGGGTCCGCACGTCTGGGATGGACGTGGTGAGTGCACGTGCGCATGCGCTGCGTAAGGCTGTGCGCATGCGCACACCGGGAGTGGTGCGTGGAGGGGCCGCCTCCTCACCACGCCCCCAAGAGGACTAGAGCTTGTACCTGTTGTTGGCTTTACCGTACGCGACCGACTCTTGTCGTTTTGGGGCTTCATTACCAGAGTCCCGAATCCTTTGCTAGGTGCTTAAAAACATTTTCTTCATTGTACATAGGTGTTTCCACAAGAATAAAAAGCTTTACACTGGGGCCGGGCGCGGTGGCTCAAGCCTGTAATCCCAGCACTTTGGGAGGCCCAGACGGGCGGATCACGAGGTCAGGAGATCGAGACCATCCTGGCTAACACAGTGAAACCCCGTCTCTACTAAAAAATACAAAAAATTAGCCGGGCGAGGTGGCGGGCGCCTGTAGTCCCAGCTACTCGGGAGGCTGAGGCAGGAGAATGGCGTAAACCCGGGAGGCGGAGCTTGTAGTGAGCTGAGATCCGGCCACTGCAGTCCAGCCTGGGCGACAGAGCAAGACTCCGTCTCAAAAAAAAAAATAAATAAAATAAAATAAAAAAATAAAAAAATAAAACTAGCCGGGCGAGGTGGCGGGCGCCTATAGCCCCAGCTACTCGGGAGGCTGAGGCCGGAGAATGGGCGTGAACCCGGGAGGCGGAGCTTGCAGTGAGCTAAGATCCGGCCACTGCACTCCAGCCTGGGCGACAGAGCGAGACTCCCTCTCAAAAAAAAAAAAAAAAAAGCTTTACCTTTATTTGAGGCCTGCTTGGGCCTACGCGCATCTCCACCGTAGTGCTAATCCCTTCCCTGTCCTGGGACAGCCTCAAGATGTATTTAATAGTATTCTTTTAGCCCAACGCAAGAGCCTTTTCGTCTGGTTGTTTTTGTTTTTCGTTTTTAGAGACAGAGCCTTGCTCTATTACCCAGGCTGGAGTGCAGTGGTAAGATCTCGGCTCGCTGCAGCCTCGAACTCCTGGACTCAAGTGATCCTCCCACCTTGGCCTCCCAAAGTGCTGGAATTCCAGGCGTGAGCTGCTACACCCAGCCTCTGGTTCTATTTTTTTTGCTCAGTATTAGAATTCGTAAGTTCTGGCCCCGGCAACACATCCTTTCATGTCTCAAGTTGCATTGTGGTGGTCACAGGACCTGTCCTGCACCTTGCACATGTGGCCATGAACAAGACTCGCTCCTTGCTCTCATGGGGCCTTCATTCCAGTGAGACACAAATGCAAACACAAAATTCCAGAAGAGTGCTAAGTGCTGTCATGAGAAACGAAGCCAGGCTGGAAGATGGGCTCTAACCCCAGAAAACTGATGGAGAGGCCCAAGCAGCCTTGGGAGCAACAGGTAGGCAAGTTGGAGGACACATGGCAAGGCTACTTGGAAGTAGGGGAGGGTGCATGGGAAACTCTGAGGCTGTGGGGGGAGAGGCAGGAGCCAGGTGAAGTCCAGGTAGATAGCAGTGGAGATGTAAGAACATGGTGGAATTTTTTTTTTTTTTTTTTTTTTTTGAGATGGAGTCTTGCTCTGTTGCCCAGGCTGGAGTGCAATGGTGAGATCTCAGCTCACTGCAACTTCCACCTCCCGGGTTCAAGCGATTCTCCTGCCTCAGCTTCCTGAGTAGCTGGGATTACAGGCACCCGCCACCATGCCCAGCTAATTTTTGTATTTTTTAGTAGAGTTGGGGTTTCACCATGTTGGTCAGGCTAGTCTCGAACTCCTGACCTTGGGTGATCCACCTGCCTTGGCCTCCCAAAGTGCTGGGATTATAGGTGTGAGCCACAGCACCTGGCTAGAACATGGTAAAATTTGAGTGTGCTTGGGAATACGCTTATAGGACTTGTTGATTAGTTGAATGAGGAAATGAAAAAATGAAGCATATCTTCTGGGATTTCAGCCTGAGCAACTGGGTTGCTGGTGGATGCTGGTTCTCTTACCAAGGACGGGAAAGATGGGTTGTCTCCCCTAAAATACTGAGTTTTAAAGGCAGGGACTGTTATCTTTGCAGTCTTGGCTCCTAGCAAGGGCCTAGCCCTTATGTGACATTAGTGAATGTTGAAATGAATGTGACATGCCTCAAACAATCCTTCTCCCTCACCTAGGCCCACATCTTCAAGTCAGTATTCCAGTACAAGCCACATCCAGTCCCCTCACCGACCCACAGAGGCCTGGGCTCAGGAGCTCACCCCTGTGCTGTAAGGCCATGTGCATGTGTTATTTCCAGAGCCTACCCTTGGAGATGCCTCAGACTCCTGGGTACCTGTGGCTGGGAGGTAGCCAGTCATGCTGTCCACATACATGCTTTTGGGCAGTGGAGAAGCTGATCATTGGGAAGGTTTATTTCCTGTCTCCACATTAGGAGGCAGGTTACAGCAGTGGCCACACGGTGCACAAAAGGCCATCCCCTAACGGCCCCATGGTTGGCATGCAGCATCTCAGCCTCCAAACTGGAAGCCCCCCGCTATCCAAGGAGCCCCCAGGTGGGAAAGGAAGGTCACAAGCCTCCCAAGTACCTCAGATGGGCTGGGGCCTGTGAGGCCCCTGCAGTAGGTCAGGTGTAGCATCTGCTCAGCTTCCCTCCCCACTCATTCGCACACAGCCAGAGCTACAGGGCTCCTGCCCTCTGGCCTCCAGCACTGCTGTGAATCAGAACTAGTCAAGAGAACTGGGTGCTTGTGTTAAACGGGAACACACTTAAATAAAATACGGGCTTTTTTTTTTTTTTTAAAGAGATGGGGTCTCACTATGTTGCCCAGGCTGGTCTTGAACTCCTGGCCTCAAGCAGTCCTCGCAGGTGAGCCTCCCAAATTGCTGGGATTACAGGTGTGAGCCAGCACACCCGGCCCTTGCTAGCTTTTTAATATGGACTTCCAGTGTGTTCTTCAGCACACTCAGGCAACATGGCTGTTACTGAGCAACTTTGTCTTGAGGTGCATTTGGAAGGCTCTGGGACTTGGTCCCCATGCTCAACTTCAGGGCACCTTGGCAGAAAGAAGAGTGGTTCCTACACCAGCAGCTTATATATTAATGCCCACATTACTCCATTTCCTTCAGATCAGCAAAAATGGTTCCAATGAGGTGCTTTCTGTAAATGAAAATGAGTTGAAATGCTCCTGTGACCTGCCCTCCATTTGTGGTTCTCATGATACTATCTTCCTTCTGCTTAGCAGGATGGCATCATCCAGTGAGACAAGTCCTTCTTTTTTTTTCTTTTTGTCTGAGACAGAGTCTTGCTCTGTTACCCACGCTGGAGTGCAGTGGAGCAGTCTTGGCTCACTGCAACCTCTGCCTCCTGGGTTCAAACAATTCTCCTGCCTTAGCCTTCTGAGTAGCTGGGATTACTGATGCCTGCAACCACACCACCTAATTTTTTGTATTTTTAGTAGAGATGGTGTTTCACCATGTTGGGCAGGCGGGGCTTGAACTCCTGACCTCATGATCCACCACCTCAGCCTCCCAAAGTGGTGGGATTACAGGTGTGAGCCACAATGCCTGGCCTTTTTTTTTTTTTCTTTGGAGACAGTCTCGCTCTCTGGACAGGCTAGAGTGCAGTGGCACGATTTCGGCTCACTGCAACCTCCGACATCCTGGGTTCAAGCGAAGCGATTCTTCTGCCTCAGCCTCCTGAGTAGCCGGGATTACAGGCACGCGCCACCATGCCCAGCTAATTTTTGTATTTTTAGTAGAGATGGGGTTTCACCATGTTGGCCGGGATGGTCTCGATTTCCCGACCTCGTGGTCCACCTGCCTCAGCCTCCTAAAGTGCTGGGATTACAGGTGTGAGCCACTGCGGCAGGCAGAGACAGGTCCTTCTTATCCCTGTGTGGCACAGTATCTCTGCCATAGATTGGGTCCCTGGTTTGGGGAGAGGGTAAAATAAGCCCTCATTCCTGGGTCTCCTCATTGGACAAGCTAGCTGGGCAAGTCACAGCATCCACATTTGGTGGGACATGGGTGTTGGCAGACCCCAACCCAGAGAGCTTGCACCTTTCAGAGGACATCTCCTTCACTACGGCACTGGCTTCCCCTGCACAGGGGCCTAAACCAGCTTGGGCCTTAGGGAAGCCAATAGAGGAGGTGTAGCTGCTTGTTCTGCCTCCTGCCCATCCACTTCAGCTCACTGTAATATCCCAAGTGGTCTTCCCCTTGCTAGAATCAGAGGACAGGCTGACCTAAAAACCAACTCAGTCTGCAGCTTTTCAAAGCAATGAATCAGGCAGGGCTTTTGACATAATGTCCTCTGCAGTTCATTTTAAACAAGGATACAAAGTATTATTAAATGTATATTTTTAATAAAGCCAATAGTTATTTTACTTATAGGAGCTTTAAAAGATACAAAATGTAGAGTTCCAGTTTGGAAGCATTGTAACTATACACACAATGTCCTGCTGATGCCCTAGCAAGGCAGCCACGCCCGACCATGCAAAGGACACATACATTCACACACGCACACACATGCGCTTTGGCGAGACCCCTCTGCCAAGCGCAGCACCTGGAATTACCAGTGTTCAGAGCAAGGCGGTGCCGGGAACACAGCACCTACATGGAGACCACACAAACGGCTTCACACAGTCTCACAGCCCATGGAGATGCAATTAGAAAATGTCTTCCTTAACAGAGAAAAACAAACTGGAAAGTGACAATTAGCAACGTCACCTGTGCTGGGGCATCAAGGACTGACCTCTGTCCAAGGTGAGGCCTTTGGGGAGGCACTATTAAAACAAGAGTACATCAGTATAATAGAACTCGAAATACAGGGTACTGTGGACACATTACTGAAGGAAATAGAAAACTATCTTACAAGTAGAACAGCCATAGACAACTTTAACAGAGATTAGTGTGCACACTGTGACAGCTAACAGACAGGAGCCACGCAGGGTTGGTGCAAAGCACGTGCCTGAAAATGTCTATATACAAAACAGTTCTTTGTAAACATGGTGAGGTGAATGCTCAGAACCACGGCAAAAGATCATAAATACAGGCAGCAATGCATCCCCACACAGCACAAAAGACAACACCTGAGGCCTGGGAACAGCCTGACAACACAGTACTAAAAACTCAGGTGGCTGGGCTCAGACACCCTAAGGGTCCTCTCGAATTAGTGTGTGTGTGTGTGTGTGTGTGTACATACATATATATATGTGTGTGTATATATATATTCTTTTTTTTTTTTTCTTTTTGAGATGGAATCTCGCTTGGTCACCCAGGCTGGAGTGCGGTGGCGCAATCTCGGCTCACTGCAACCTCCGCCTCCCGGGTTCAAGCGATTCTTCTGCCTCAGCCTCCCAAGTAGCTGGGACTACAGGCGCCCGCCACCACGCCTGGCTAATTTTTGTATTTTTAGTAGAGATGGGGTTTCACCATATTGGCCAGGCTGGTCTTGAACTCCTGACCTTGTGATCCGCCCACCTCGGTCTCCCAAAGTGCTGGGATTACAGGCGTGAGCCACCGCGCCCGTCCTCTTTTTGGTATTTTTATATATAAATTTACTTATATCTGTAGAAAAACGAGAACATAAATGTGTTATTACAATCTTTGCTGGAAAAGCTTATATGGAGTTAGAAAGAATAAACCATTTATTAGTAGTTAACATATATTAAAATGGTTTAATGATTTAAGAAAATATAAAAAAAATATTAATACTGTCAAACTTTCATACTAGAAAATATTATGGATTTTTCTCAATTAGACTTTTTCAAAGATGAAATATGAAAAATTTAAATAAGTTTTATATAAAGAACTTTCTGTAACCTCAATTAATATACAGTGGGATATGTCTATTCTATATAGATATATTTATTATTATTTCTCAATTTAAGCACCATTCAATTCTTCTGGATCCATTCTGGCTGGAAAATATCCCTAAATCCACAGGATGTTATCTATTTAATGGCACATGTTAACTGAAAATGAGGTGGATTTTTTTTTTTTTAAGAAAAGACCTTAAATTAATTTCTATCTACATCTTAATTGGTTTGTCTTCTGAGCCAGCTCACAATGTCAATGCAATTTCTAGTGCAGGTGTCTCTGAGTGCCCCTTGACCACACCCTGAGGACTGTGGCAGTGTCCTGGCCGTGTGTGGAAGGATCGAAGGGCAGCAGGTGCAGCCTTGCTCTGCACATGGACAGCAGCCGGCTGGTCCACCGCCACGCACCTTCAGCAGTATACCTCCGACACGAGTTCCACCATCCTGCTTCCGTAAAGCTGGGAAAGGCCGCAGTTCCTGGGTGCTGCTGGGTGGCGAGGAACTGTCCACCCACAGAAACCCCAGGTGACTGCTTCCAATCACAAATATTCTATATTTTGCCCATTTTGTATAAGCTTAAATATAGTGTTAAACAAACCTCCAGCCAGTATATCTGTTATCTTAAAATATTCAATGCATTTTAGGCAGGAGATGTTTTAACTAAAAACCTACATGAAAAAAATAGCTAGAAAAATACAGTGATTGGTGTGGTCATCACTCAAGGGGTGGAGGAGGGAGGAGAGGGTTTCTGAAAAATGGTCAGTTATGCCCTCAGCTTTCAGGCCTGATGTCTTCTCAACACAAAGCAGGACTAAAAACCCAAAAGCTATGTTTCTTCAAGTGTGGCCGTGGCGCCTGCATCAGAGTCACCTGCGGGGCTTATTAGGCACGCAGGTTCCCCAGCAAGCCCCCGAAGGCCAGACGCCTGTGTCTCCAGCTGGCTCTCCAGGGCTCTGATGCCGCCAATGTTTGAGAAGCCAGGTTTAAAGGCTGGGAGCTGCCAACCACCCTTGTCCCCAAGGAACCCTCCCTGGGATGGGGCGCACTGGTCCTCTGAGTGGCTGGTGTCAGCTAGGCGGCCCTGGGATGGGGACACCCATCCCCACAGCTCTGGGCAGGCAGGCAGGCTGGCCTGGGGTCAGTACTGGGGCAGATAGGCTGGCCTGCGCTCAGCCTTCCCAGGGAAGGCCTTGAAGCCCTTGGGTGCTGCCTTATGTGCTGGTGGGGGTGGGGGCTGTGGTGGGGTCTGCACGTAGGAGAAGGCGGCAGCACTGCAGTCGTTGGTTGCGGCCCATACTGGGGACTGCAGCATCTGCATGGTGTCGTTCCACTGGCTGCCGGGGCTGGTGACTGCATAGAGTGGTGCGCTGGGGCTGGGCAGCGTGCTGGGAAGCGGGGAAGGGTGCTGCCAGGGTGCCTTGGGTGGCCACGTTTTGGTTTTGTTATCCTGAGAGACAGAAGAGAGTTCTTAGTGGCATTTTGGGCAATGTATCATCTTTTCCCACCTCCCCAGATCCCTGGCCCTTATTCCCACCTAGGAGGCAGGGTCAGAGCCCCACTCACTCCCACAGCCCTATCCAACAGAACTTCTTGCAATGGTAGCCACTTGCCACATGTGGCTAGTGCAAGCTGAGGACATTTTTTCTTTTTTTTTGGAGACGCAGTCTGTCTCTCACCCAGGCTGGAGTGCAGTGGCGTGATCTCGGCTCACTGCAACCTCCGCCTCCCGGGTTCAAGCGATTCTCCTGCCTCAGCCTCCTGAGTAGCTGGGATTACAAGCGTGTGCCACCATGCCTGGCTAATTTTTGTATTTTCAGTAGAGACGGGATTTCACCGTGTTAGCCAGGATAGTTTCGATCTCCTGACCTCATTTGTGATCCACCCGCCTTGGCCTCCCAAAGTGCTGGGAGTACAGGCATCGCCACTGCGCCCGGCTGATTAATTCTTTTTAAAAAATATTTTAGAGGCAGTCTCACTCTATCACCCAGGCTGGAGTACAATGGTGCAGTCATAGCTCACTGTAATCTCAAATTCCTGGGTTCAAGCCATCCTCCTGCCTCAACCTCCTGAGCAGCTAGGACTATAGGCATGTGCCACTGTGCCTGGCTAATCTTTTAATTTTTTTGTAGAGACAGTGTCTATGTTGCCTGGGTTGGTCACAAACCTCTGGCCTCAAGCCATCCTTCTGCCTTGGCCTCCCAAAGCACTAGGATTACAGGCATGAGCCACCATGCCCAGCCTGAATTTTTATTTGTATTTAAATTTACATAGCCACATGTGGTGAATGGCTATCATACTGCACAGCACAGCCGTAGAACGTCCTGTGGCTCTGAGTCAGCTGAGGAGGCTAATCATTTACACAGTTAATCATCACAAAGAAGACCCCTCATTACTTTGAGGCCCTCTGAAAACTGCAGCTGTGGAAGCTAGCCCAAATCTGTGCCCACAGAGCCTGCCTGAATACCTGGTTCACGTCCTCCACTGTGGTGAGGAGAGGTGGTGAGGGCAGCGTGCTGGTGTCCTGCTCTCCACTGCTGTGTTTCCTGAAAGAACCAAGAGCTCAGGGCAGTGATTGCCTGGCTTCCTGCCCAGCCCACCTGCATGGGACACACTAGTGCTAGGCTGCAGCGACTCCAGGCCCTGGTTCTAGGAGGGGAGGAGGGCTGCATGGGTCCATGGCGTAAAGGGGGCTAAGGGGAGCCCGCACTGAATGATGCGCTCCTGCACGGCCAGTGCAGGCAGAGGAGCTGGGGTTGGGGGTGGCAGGCAAAGACAGGCACCGGCTTTACTCACATGCTGAGTCCACCTTCTTTGCCTTTTTTTTTTTTTTTTTTTTTTTGAGACCGAGTCTCACTCTCTTTCCCAGGCTGGAGTGCAGTGGCATGATCTCAGCTCACTGCAACCTCCGCCTCCCAGGTTCAAGCAATTCTTGTGCCTCAACCTCCGGAGTAGCTGGGATTACAGGCGTGTGCCACCATGCGCAGCTAATTTTTGTGTTTTTAGTAGAGATGGGGTTTCACCATGTTGGCCAGGCTGATCTCAAACTCCTGACCTCAGGTGATCTACCTGCATCAGTCCCCCAAAGTACTGGGATTACAGGTGTGAGCCAGCGGGCCTGGCTGGCTTTTTGTTAATTCATTTAAGAGATACTGTTTCCAAGCACTAAGGATATGTGACTGTTACAAGGTTGAATGAAAAAGGCAGGATGTGGCCAGATCAGAGCCAGCACTCCTGCATGCAGACAACAGTCTCTGCAGAGATGGTGCCAGATGTGACTTCTTAAAAGTCGAATCAGTCATATGTCTGAAACAGCAGTCTCAAACTCCACCCCGGCTCAAACTTGCTCCTCCTGCAGGCTTTGCACCTCAGTTCACGGCACCCTTCACAGAAGCTCAGGCGGAAAACTTGTGTGTCATCCTTGACTCTTCCCCCCTCACCCATACCCCACTGCCAATTCCCCACCAGCTGCTGCTGCACTTTGTTCAGCTCTCTGCTCATCAGAAGTCTCATTGACTAAGTTCTGAAAATAGAACATCCACCTGTTCTCTGCATTTACTACCCTCATACCCTGCTTTATTTTCCTTCAGAGCACCTAGCCTAACCTGACATGATTTTTTGTTTGATTTTTGAGACAGGGTCTCACTCTGTTGCCCAGGCTAGAGTGCAGTGGCACAAACACAGCTGACTGTAGCCTCAACTTCCCAGGCTCAAGTGATCCTCCCACTTCAGCCTCCCGAGTAGCTGGGACTACAAGTGTGGACAGAAAGCATCTGAATGTGTGCTCAGGATTGGTCACTGCCACCCCCCAGCCCACTACTATTCTGTGCAAGTACCCTTCTGTCTTCACCTACCCGCTCCCCACTGCCTATCCGACGGAGCCTGGCCTGTCCGGCAAGGACCATGTAACCCTGCCTCCAGCTCTGCTCCACAGCATGGCTTCGAGTACCTGGGAGCCCTGCGTACCCTCCACTCCCATGGCCCTTAGTCTGCCACCCTAACCTTGCTTTCATAGCCACAGCAGTTTCTCATTTCTTTTTTTTTTTTTTTTGAGACGGAGTCTCGCTCTGTCGCCCAGGCTGGAGTGCAGTGGCGCAATCTCGGCTCACTGCAAGCTGCGCCTCCCGGGTTCACGCCATTCTCCTGCCTCAGCCTCCCGAGTAGCTGGGACTACAGGCGCCCGCCACTGCGCCCGGCTAATTTTTTCTATTTTTAGTAGAGACGGGGTTTCACCATGGTCTCAATCTCCTGACCTTGTGATCCGCCCGCCTCGGCCTCCCAAAGTGCTGGGATTACAAGCGTGAGCCACCGCGCCCGGCCTTCTCTACTTATTTCTAACCAAGCTCTCCTCTTAGTTCAGAGCCCATTTTAATTTTTGGGACCACTTTTGAAACATTCTCAGGTCTGAATATGCTATATTACTACTTTTTTGAACTTTGAAATGCCATTCAGAGGTCATTTTATCCATCTTTAATAAAGAGACTGAGGGTCAGTGAGGGCCAGCCCCTTGTCTGGGGTTGCAGAGCCTGTTGGTGAGTCCAGATTAGAACTCACAACCAAGGGCCTGCTCTTCCCACAGAAAGGGGTGCCTCCTGCAAGGCACAGACCAGCACCAGCCACCCTGTCCCCCAAATCGAGCCGGCACAAGACGAGGCCGGCTCTTCCTTGTGGAAACCGCCTCCTGCAGGCGCTCTTTAGAGGCTTCAGCCGGGCAGTGCTGGAAGAGCCCCTCCTCCCACACCGGGAGACTAGGAGCGACTGGGCTCCTGGCTTTCCCAGGGAGTGAGCCGTGGGTTGCATTCACATGCCCCTCTCTCCCCACCTTGGTTTAGAAATCCCTTCATACCTTCTCTGCTTGACAGCAGCAACGAGGTCAGGCCCTGAAAACATGGAGAACAAGCTGTCCCCGTTAGCTGAGGATGTCTCATCACTCGAGCTGGCAGAGTCTCCCTGAGCACCTGACCAGGCACCATGCAGGCCATCCCTGAAAGCCAGAGAGAGAAGCTGGGCCGGGGCCTCCTGCAGCCCCACCACCCTCCACCCCACCCTGAAAGGGCAGTCCTTACCCTGCATTCATCCCATAACCAAATAGTGGTCTCTTGTCTCTCCCTTCTTAAAACGTGAGGTTTTCCTCCTTTGCCTTATTTCAAAAGTAATACATATTCATCACTTCCCTTTATTCCTCTAAGAAGCCTATGGTTTGTATATGAAATTTGTTTTAGAAAAAAACAAGGGAGGGATAGCATGGGGAAGAATAGCTAATGGATGCTGGGCTTAATACCTAGGTGATGGGAAGATCTGTGCAGCAAACCAACATGGCACACGTTAACCTTTGCAACAAACTTGCACATCCTGCACAGGTACCCCTGAACTTACAATAAAAGTTGAAAGAAAAAAAATTTTTTTAAGTTAAAAAAAAAAATTAAGAAGTAAGAAAAAAACTAAAAGTTGAGCTGGTCTTTAGTCACCCAGATTTATTAACTAGATAGCAATATGGGATATAAAAAAATCCCCACTTGTCTTTACGATAAAAATTCGCAATTCTGTCAATATACTAGAATCTCAACTGTACACCTTCGCTTTTTGTAGGCTATAATGACAGCATTCCATAAATCATGTGGGCTTCACAGCCACACTCATTTCAGTATAAAGGCCGTGTTAAATATGCATTTATCTTACAAGCACCATCATGTAAGAGCCTTGTCTAGGGCTGAAGAGTCTGTTTTGAAAATCATGAATGTATACCAATGGCATGTTCACAGGGACACAACACACTACTTAGCATCTAACAGTCAGCCACATGACTCTGACCCCTAAAGATTTAATCCCATGTCACTCTCTCACACGGGGGCTTGGAATTGAACTGCTTGAAAAGAATGCCCACAGGCAAGGAGCCTCCCTTCTCACAGGCCCCTCGGGGGACACTTGGGTCTCAAACTCGGATTCCGTGCAGTACCCAGCACTCACCCTTCTGTGAAGAACTCGGGGAAGGGCCAGGTCCGATGGGCGTCATCCATAGGCGGCCAGTTGCCCCGGGGGTTGCCTGGCCGGCGACCATGCTGGGCCTGCCGCTTCTGCTGCATCGCCTGGCTCACTCCTGCCACATAGCGTGCAAACTCTGGGTCTGAGCCCACTGCATGGCGACAAAAGGAACAAACCGGGTTTGGGGAGAAACTGGCCTCTTAGTCCTTCCCTATGCTTTGCTGACATGCTGGTCACACATGCAATGAAAGGCAGTGAGGAGCTGCCAGGCTTTTGCCCCACAGCGTGGGCTGTAGGCTGTGCCCAGCACCCTGCTGTGGGGAGATGGGACTTGTAGCACCTAGGGCTAAGGCACAGTGTGTGCCAGGGATGTCTGGAAGGGCATTGCCTAGGACAGAGGCAGGTAAGTGTGAAAGAAACAAAAAGAAAGAAAAATGGTTTGATTTACCCATGATTAGATTTTAAAGACAAATACTAATAACTTAAAAAAATTTCTAGCATCAGCCAGGCACAATGGCTCACTCCTGTAATCCTAGCATTTTGGGAGCATGAGGTGGGCAGATTGCTTGAGCCCGGAAGTTCGAGACTAGCCTGGCCAACATGGAGAAACCTCGTCTATACAAAAATTAGCTGGGTGTGGGCCAGGCGTGGTGGTTCACGCCTGTAATCTCAGCACTTTGGGAGGCCGAGGCAGGTGGATCATGAGGTCATGAGTTCAAGACCAGTCTGGCCAAGATGGTGAAACCCTGTCACTACTAAAAATACAAAAATTAGCTAGGTGCGGTGGCAGGTGCCTGTAATCCCAGCTACTCGGGAGGCTGAGGCAGGAGAATCGCTTGAACCCAGGCGGCAGGGGTCACAGTGAGCCAAGATCGTGCTATTGCACTCAGCCTGGGAGAAAAAGCAAGACTCTGTCTCAACCAAAAAAAATAAAAAATAAAAATTTGTTGGGTGTGGTGGTGTGCACCTGTAGTCACAGCTACTTGGGAGGCTGAGGTGGGAGGATCACTTGAGCCCAGGAGGTGGAGGTTGCAGTGAGCCAAGATTGCGCCACTGCACTCCAGCCTGAGAGAAAGAGCTAGACTCTGTCTTAAAAAAAAAGAAACAAAAGGGGCCGGGCGCGGTGGCTCAAGCCTGTAATCCCAGCACTTTGGGAGGCCGAGACGGGCGGATCACGAGGTCAGGAGATCGAGACCATCCTGGCTAACACAGTGAAACCCCGTCTCTACTAAAAATACAAAAACTTAGCCGGGCGAGGTGGCAGGCGCCTGTAGTCCCAGCTACTTGGGAGGCTGAGGCAGGAGAATGGCGTGAACCCGGGAGGCGGAGCTTGCAGTGAGCTGAGATCCGGCCACTGCACTCCAGCCTGGGTGACAGAGCGAGACTCCGTCTCAAAAAAAAAAAAAAAAAAAAAAAAGAAACAAAAAACAAAAAAAACACCTGGGCTGGGCTTGGTGGCTCACGCCTGTAATCCCAGCACTTTGGGAGGCCGAAATGGGTGGATCACCTGAGGTCAGGAATTCGAGACCAGCCTGGCCAACATGGTGAAAACCCGTCTCTACTAAAAATACCAAAAATTAGCCGGATGTAGTGGCAGGCACCTGTAATCCCAGCTACTCAAGAGGCTGAGACAGGAGAATCACTTGAACCCGGGAGGCGGAGGTGGCAGGGAGCCGAAATCGCGCTATTGCACTCTAGCCTGGGTGACAAGAGCGAAACTCCAACTTAAAAGAAGTCCAGCGTCTTGGTGCTCTGTACCTAGAGTCATTAGCTAACAACTTAGAAAATCAGATGATGACTTTGGCCAACTGATAACCTGAAAGTTAACAAAGCATCAAAGCATTGGGGTCAGCCAGATAGAGGTTATATGCTGTTCCCACTTGAGCTAAAGTTTGATCTGGTATTTTCCTGGCTATTGGCCAGGAGATTTGCTCATTCCATCTGAACATCTTAAGTGTGGCAAAGAATAAAATGCAACTTCAGAATGCTTTAAGAGGTGGCTGGAAACACTGGCAGTGCTGAATGGGGATATGCAGGGCAGTACAAATGGGAGAAAAGCACAGATGGCATTTACAGAAAGTGTCAAAAAAAAACATATGGCAGGAAAGCATCCATGAATCATAAATGTGACTCAGCAATTCATTTTTTAGCTTAAAATTAGGGAAGATACTAGGGCACAATCCCATTACCAGCTTATCCTAGGGCACTGTCACAAGATGATCTCAGTCACACTGTCCTGTCTCCCGACCCCCATCCCGCACTGAGTTTGCCTATCCAGACGGGTGCACTAGCTGGCGCCCTCTGATTCTGTCCAGAGGGGCGCTCCTCCTTAATCTGCATCAAGGGCTATGCAGATCTTATGCCCTTGGGGCAGGTAGAAAACTACACCATGGACTTCAGGGGCAGAAAGGAACACCCAGAAGGGAAAGAGTAGGATTTGTAGTCTACAGACACAAGAGGTGTCCAGGACTCAGAGGTCAAATACAGTAACATTCTTATTTAAAAAAAAAAATTTTTTTTTTTTTTTTTTTTTTTTTTTTTTGAGACGGAGTCTCGCTCTGTCGCCCAGGCTGGAGTACAGTGGCGTGATCTCAGCTCACTGCAAGCTCCACCTCCCGGGTTCACGCCATTCTCCTGCCTCAGCCTCCCGAGTAGCTGGGGCTACAGGCGCTGCCACCACGCCCGGCTAGTTTTTTGTATTTTTAGTAGAGACGGGGTTTCACCGTGTTAGCCAGGATGGTCTCGATCTCCTGACCTCGTGATCCGCCCACCTCGGCCTCCCAAAGTGCTGGGATGACAGGCGTGAGCCACCGCGCCCGGCCTTAAAAAAAAATTTTTTTTTTTAGACAAGAGTCTCACTCTAGTTATCCAAGCTGGAGTGCAGTGGCGCCATCTCAGCTCACTGCAACCTCTGCCTCCCGGGTTCAAGTAATTCTCGTGCCTCAGCCTCCCAGGTGGTTGGGACTACCACACCTGGCTAATTTTTTTGTACTTTTGGTAGAGACGGGGTTTCACCATATTGGCCAGGCTGGTCTTGAACTCCTGGCCTCAAGCAATCTGCTGGCCTCAGCCTCTCAAACTGCTGAGACTACAGGCATGAGCCACTGCGCCCGGCCTCAAATATGATACGATTCTGACAAATACTGTTTATATTCTGAATTTAGTTACATGACAGTCAAAAAATGTACAGACCATTTATGATCAGAGAAAACGCACTGTGCCCACAGCAGTGGGTGGTAGCCAGTGGGCTTGCTGTTTCTTAGCAGGATGGAGGTGTTTACCCTTCTTGTGGCCCAGGGTTGCAGGCACAAGGATTTCCTATATCCATCCACCCAGGGGGAGCAAGCACAAGACAGCAGGAGCAGCGGCATGAAGAATTTTCAGAAGACACGAGCAATGGTCAGGTGCGGTGGCTCACGCCTGTAATCTCAGCACTTTGGGAGGCTGAGGTGGGTGGATCACCGGAGATCAGGAGGTCAAGACCAGCTTGACCAACATGGCAAAACCCCGTCTCTACTAAAAATATAAAAATTAGCCGGGTGTGGTGGTGGGTGCCTGTAGTCCCAGCTACTCAGGAGGCTGAGGCAGGAGAATCATTTGAGCCCAGGAGGCAGAGGTTGCAGTGAGTGGGGATCGTGCCACTGCACTCCAGCCTGGGCAACAACGCAAGACTCTGTTTCAAAAAAAAAAAAAAAAGGAGTGTTAACCCCAGCATTAACTTCCCTCCTGTAACAAGTGCGGGGGTGTTTCAGCAAGGAATCTCTTCTGGTGGGGATTTACTTGTACAAGTATTTGCTATACTTATTTGTAACATTTCACAGTACTCACCTATGAATGAAATACATTTTCTACTTCTGTATGCCTTTTGCTATTTAATTAGAGAAAAAAGTTTGCATGTACCTATGTTACCAAATTATCTTACTAATTTTAGATTTTTTTGGCGGGGGGGGTTCAATTATATTATTAGCAAAAAGATGTGCTGCTTAATCTATCATTTTCCAAAGCTTGGACCACTTATTTAATTGCTTTTTGTCTTGCTGCATTTGCTGTGAAGTCCAAGACAAAGTTACATGCTACAGGTGATAACAGTTGCCCTTGTCTGATTCCTGATATTAACTGAAATGATTTTTGTTTCATTATATAAGGCACTATTTGCTATTAGCTTTTGGTAGATAGTCTTTTTTGTTTTTCTTTTTTTTTTTTTTGAGACGGAGTCTCGCTCTGTCACCCAGGCTGGAGTGCAGTGGCCGGATCTCAGCTCACTGCAAGCTCCGCCTCCCGGGTTCACGCCATTCTCCTGCCTCAGCCTCCCGAGTAGCTGGGACTATAGGCGCCCGCCACCTCGCCCGGCTAGTTTTTTGTATTTTTTAGTAGAGACGGGGTTTCACCGTGTTAGCCAGGATGGTCTCGATCTCCTGACCTCGTGATCCGCCCGTCTCGGCCTCCCAAAGTGCTGGGATTACAGGCTTGAGCCACCGCGCCCGGCCTGTTTTTCATTTATTTACTTATTTTTTAGAGACAGAGTCTCACTTTGTTGCCCAGGCTGGGCTGCTGTGGTGTGATCATGGCTCACTGCAGCCTCAACCTCCTGAGCTCAAGCGATCTTCCCACCTCAGCCTCAAGGCGCTGGGACTACAGGCATGTGCCACCACACCCAGCTAATTTTTTATTTTTTGTAGAACTATGTTGGCCAAACTGGTCTTGAACTCCTGGCCTCCTGCAATCTGCCTACCTCAGCCTTCCAAAGTGCTGGAATCACAGGCATGAGACAGCATGCCCGGCCAGGTTTTCCACTTCTTGGTATAATTTTGTAATCCTATTTTGCTAGGAAAGAATCGATTTTCTGCTGAGTTTCCAAATGTATTGCTATTAAGTCTTAGATGGTAATGACTTAAAGTGGCTTTGTTTTGAAATAGGGTCTCTCTCTCTGTCATCCAGGCTGGGGTGTAGTGGCATGATCACAGCTCACTGCAGCCTCAAAATCCTGGGGTCAAGGGATGCTACTGCTGCAGCTTCCTAAGCACCACCACACCCAGCTGATTTTTTGTTTAGAGATGAGGGTTTTGTGATGTTGACCAGGCTGGTCTTGAACTCCTGGCCTCAAGTGATCCTCCCGCCTCAGCCTCTCAAAGTGCTGGGATTACAGGCATGAGCCACTAAAGTGCTTTTAATGTATCCTATTTCCTAATTTTGTTTCTCTTTGTTCTCTCTTAATCAAGCTTAGAATAAATTGGCTTATATATTTTATTGGTCTTCCAAAGATCCTTTAGAGTTATTTGCAATTTCTACTCTATTTTTCTTTTTAATTTACTTATTTTTGGCTTTTCCCCCTTAATTCCTCCTCCTAGTTTGTTCTTGTTTGTAAATTCCTTCTCTAATTTCTTAAGATGACTCTGGTGGTATTTTCATTGTCTAGGCCAGGAAAAGCTGTTTTCTATGAAGGCAGGAGGGTGTCTGTCACCTATCATAAGCCCTAGAGTTTAGACAAAAAAAAAAGCATCGCAAAGAACAGGTTATGTAATCAGGAAAAAAGCACCCCACAAAAGACTGTTGATCTTGGCTACTGGGAGTGGGCAGGCCTAGACTGGAGCCCACTTGAACTATGGGACTTTGAGCTATTCAAGTAACCTCTCTTAGCCTCAGTTCTGTTCTCCATAAAGTAAGAAAAATAGTCCACTCACATTCTCAGCCCCTTTCTCACCACTGTTTCCCACTCTTGCTAGATCTGCCCCACACTCACCTCCACAGTGAGAAAGGGTCGTAAAGGGGGATTAAGTGATTTCACCTTCACAAGTAAGGCTGCGGTAGACAAGCCCTGGGAAGACCTCAGCAGTTGCGTTTGCTGTTGACACTGGGCGAGGGGTGGGAGGCCTCACATACCTGCAGGATCGAAAGGCAGAATCTCTCCCAGCATTCCAAAGACTCCATCGCTTTGGTCACGGTTTGGCCATGTGTTATTTCTAGGTCCCTGCGGCTTCTGTCCCAGAACCTCTGACATCACGTTATCCATATAGCTGCTCACCAGACCCAAGCTGTACAAGTCAGAACTGAGATCAGATATGCCAGGCCACTGACCAAGAGGAGACAGACCTGCTCCAACAGTCTGCCCTGGCTGTTGGGATGAGCCATGTACCCATTTCCCAGGTGCCCGAGGCTGGGGCGGGGGCTGCTGCGGTCCAATGGGCTGGAGTAGGTGTTGGTAGTATTGGACTTGAGGTTGTTGCTGCTTTGGGGACTGCTGCTGAGGTGCCAGTCCCGGCTGGGGTGTCAGAGGTGTGTGTGCCCCAGCCTGGGGTGCCCGTGGTGGAGGGGGCACGGGCAGTGACGGCTGCTGTGGCTGCATGGCTCCTGCCTTCTGCTCAGTCACCATGGCTGTGGCAGCAGAATTACGCCTTGTCACCAACGGAGAGCCCTGATGTGACTGGCCCATGTTAAAGCCCGAGAGAAAATCTATCACCTCTTGCATTTCCTGATCAGTTGGTAAGTTCATACCCTTCTCATCCTTGCCATCATCTCCATGCAGGAAGTTCTCACGCCTCTCCATGAGAAAGCCATTGGCCACTGGATTACTGGAATTCTGAGCTGACTGTGAAGGGTCTGTAGTCCTGGGGAAATTGCCAATGTTCAAAATGCTTTGTAACCTTGTATCAATATTGCCAGGCATTTTGGCCTTCTCTTCTGAACATCCAGCTATGAAGATGTTTTTAGAAGGGGTATTTTGGATGGAATAATTTGTGCTGCTGCTGGAGCTAGTACATGAAGCTTTCTTGGTGAACCGGGATGTCAGTTTGGAGAATGTCTTCTGCAGGCCACCTGAAGATTTGTTTCCATTTCCAGAAGGCAGGTCAGCCTGGTTGCCAAAATCACAGATCTCCCTTTGCAGCTGGATCTGTATGCAGGGTAAAGCTTGCTCCCTATTTAAACAGAAATTTGTTTAAAAAAAAAAAAAAAAAAAAAGACAAATATATAAAATAATAGAATGGACCTCTTTGTATTTAAGAATGGTGTTGAGAGCAAGAAAAACCTCTCTGGTTGGTATCAGGTTCACTTATCTTATAAATAAATGAACACCCAGGGGTTTGGAGAGTATGAAATCTACAGTGTCTAACGCAGGACTGGAAGTTCTGCTAGGATTCTGGCCTGAGGAGTGTGATTGAGTGAAATCCTCTAATGGTGGCACAGGAGGGGAAAGCATGGCTAGATGTGGGGATGCAACTTGCAGAAGCTAGCTTTGTACCTGGAGGACAGGGGCTACAGCCACGCAAATACAGCAGAGGGACAATGGACAACTCCACAAAGCAGAGGGAGGTGGTGGGGGGATGCAGGGATACTATGGACCAAAGTTGTCCCAAAAGATGGCTGTGACTTTCAAAGTTTCCTGAGCACATTTTCCCCATACTAAAATGGAGCCCTACAGAGCGAAAGGGCATGGGGCAGGAGCTGAGGCAGGTGAAGGCTGTGTGGCCCTGGAAAAGTCACTTTACTATTCTGGCCTTTGTGTACTCATGAGTTAAGAAAGGGAGAAAAGGTTGGGCATGGTGGCTCACGCCTGTAATCCCAGCACTTTGGGAGGTCAAGGCAGGCAGATCACTTGAGGTCAGGAGTTTGATACCAGCCTGGCCAACATGGCGAAACCCCGTCTTCATGAAAAATACAAAAATTGGCTGGGCATCATGGCGCACACCTGTAATCCCAGCTACTCGGGAGGCTGAGGTAGGAGGATGACTTGAGCCCAGGAGCTGGGGGAGGCTGCAGTGAGCTGAGATTGCACCACTACACTCCAGCCTGGCTGGGTGACAGAGCCAGATCCTATAAAGACAAGACGACAAAACCAAACACAAAGACCAAGACAGAAAAGAAAAAAAAAAAAGAAAAGAAAAGAAAAGGGAGAGGGGCCATGGCTAGATGTTTAAGGCTCCTACCAGATGTATACACATTTTTCAGGTTCAACCTGAGAGAACGGATTGAAAAAGAAAACAAATTCTAAAAGACATAAGTAAATTTTCTAAACATTTCTCTGTTCTTAATTCATAACGAGAATATGAGTTAAAAGTCCTCTTGATGGACTTCCTCTCAAATGACAAAACAAAGGCAGGCAAAAATGTTAGCAAATAGGATAATCTAGGTACAGGGCATGGAGCAGTTCTTTGTATCATTCTTGCCACTTTGCTGCAGGTTTTAAATTATTCTGAAAATAAAAGTTACTAAAAAGTCCGTATTGCCTTATTTACAATACCGCATACTATCAGTGACACAAGCACACATGAAATTGTGCATAGTCACACTGTCCCCTCAGTATGCATCTAAATGCAAACCACAGACAATTTAAGTGACCCGCACAGACACCAACCTTCCAGCCCTCCAGCGGTTTAGGTCCAGCACGGCTGTGTAGAGCACATCCACCAGACCCAGGGTCTTCTCAGGATCAAGGCTTCTCTGCAGCAGGGACATGGTGGCAGGGTCTTCTTTCAGGCACCTAGGCACAGATTAGGCTGCATTAGTCTTGGCTGCCCTTCTCTGCAAAGGTGTTTCAAGCAGGTCTCATAGAAAAGGCTACAACTTTTATGTACTTCTCGCGCCCAACAAAAATTCAGTAACTGTAAGAACACGGAGAAAACAACAGGGCTGACCCTGGAACTCACTGCTCCACAAGAGGAGGAGGAAGCAAAAGGGTCTGAGGTCTCGTGATATCAGAATATATATTTGGTCTCTGCCTCCAGTTCCTCATACAGAGCTCCTAAAACCCTTGAGGAGTTCCTGGATGATAGTGTCTTTTGTTCTAATAAGATGACTTGCTTATATGATGAAGCCTCCATAAAAATCATTAGATCATCGGGTTCTGAGAACTTCCACGCTGGTGAACACACTGAGGTGCTGGGCATGGGGCACACCTGGCAAGGGCATGGAGGCTCGGGGCCCCATCCTACACACTGCACGCTATGCACCTCTTCACCTGGCTGTGTATCTGCTATAATATCCTTTATAACAAACCATAAATGTAATTAAATGTTTTACTGAGTTCTGTGAGACATTATAGCAAAATATCAAACCTGGAGGTTATGGGAACCCTCAACTTATAGCCAATTGGTTAGAAGTCGGGTGACCACCTGGGACTTGTGGATGGCATCTGAAGTGGGAAGTAGCCTTGCAGGGCTGAGCCCTTAACCTGTGGGGTCTGTGCTAGCTCAGACATTCTGATTCCTGCTGACTTCTCCAATAAGTAAACACAACTGTCTACCACAAAACTTACACATCCTCTCTAGTTCCTCACATCTTGCATGCAATCCATCAGTGAATCCTGATACCTCTTCTTATAAAACACATCCAGAATCCAAGCACTTCTCACCACCTTGTTTATGAACCCCCTGCTTCAGGAAACCACCACTCCTGGGTTTCAGGACCAAGCTCTCACCTGGTCTCTTTTTCTCTACTCCTGTACCTCCAAAGCCCATCCTTCACATAGCAGCCAGAGCGAGCTTCCCGTAGTGCCTATCAGAGCACATCACTCCCCTGCTTAAAACCCTTCAACGGCATCTCATCGTGATTGAAATAAAATCTAAACCCTCACCACAGTCCTCAAAGCCCTCTGTGCCCAGCCCTTCCACCTTGTCCCAGCCGTGAGGCCTTCTCTTTCCCTGGATGGGTTTGTCCACACCTAGGACCTTTGTTCTTGCTGCTGCCTTTGCCCGAATTTCTCTTTCCTGAGATTTGGATATGGCCAACTGCTTCTCATCATTTGGGTCTCCACTGTCCATTCAGGGTACCTACACCAAGAGCCCCCCAACCTTTTTTTGAGACAGAGTCCCACTCTGTCCTCAAGGCTGGATTGCAGTGGTGTGATCAAAGTTCACTGCATCCTCAACCTCCTAGGCTCAAGCCATCTTCCCATGTCAGCCTCCCAAGTAGCAGGGACTACAGGCGTGTGCCACCGCACCCGGCTAATTTTTTAATTTTTTTGTAGAGACGGGGTCTCACTATGTTGCTCAGGCTGGTCCTGAACTCCTTAGCTCAGGTGATCCTCCTGCCTCAGCCTCCCAAAGCGCTAGGATTACAGGTGTGACCCACTTGGTCCAGCCAAGAGCCCTTTTCTGAGAGGGAAAACAGTCTGAGCAGCACAGGTCTACTAGGAAGATGATGTCTGCCAAATCCTGGGCACTCTAGGAGCTAAATGGTGAACTCAACACTTGCAAAGTCACCCAAGGAGGTAGCAGTACTCCCTAACATGACTTGGACTTGGGAAGAAATGTATCAAAGAAATGCATAAGAGCATGAAATGAGAGTCAGCCAGGCTCTGAAGCACAGGAAAGGGTGAACAACAACGCAAGCTCTGCTAGTGCCCAGCTAGACCTTGGACTCTTCAGAGAGAATCTTGGCAACTGAGCCTGCCCAGGGTTCAGTGCACCCAATTCTCTCCGTCTGGAATCACTGATAATCAGGACACATATGCTCTTGTTCCCAAGCCAAGTCTCGTTGTGACTTGGCTTGTCACATGTTTGCCCACTAGGAAAGCATTTGTTGGCCATGCAGAAAAGAGTACTACAGTTCCTGGTGATAATAATTAATCTTTCTGAAAAATCAACAATCAACAAACTGGCATTTTTATTTTATTCATCAGTCTTGAGCTGATCAATAAAACGCCCTTAAGTGGCTAAACCCATTCTGCTGACAAATCATCAAGACTTGCTTAAAACCCTGTACCTGTTCTTAGATTAAAAGCCCAGTTCCCTCAAGGGCCCTGCAAGTCTTGACATCTATAACTTCCCGTCCTTATCACCACCTAGTGCATCTCGTTCCATGCTGGTTCACTCCTGAAGCCTCTGCACTGGCATTCCTTCTGCCTGAAGTGTGCTCCCCATCTGCTCTCTCCATGGCAGGCTCCTCTCAAATCCAACGTCATATCGTCAGAACCCCTTCCAGACTGACTCGTCTAAAAGTCTCCCCCCAATCTCTATCCCACTTATTCTCTATCATATATTGGCACTCTTCTCTCATTTCCATCATATGCCTGCCTGTGTTTGAACTCATCTCTTATACTTAACAGCTGTCTCCCCCTTCTCTATTCTCAAGTTGGTTTATGAGGAGCAGGGACCCTGTGTGTCTTGCTCATAATTAAATTCCCAGAGCCCAGAACAGTGTCTGGTACACAATAAGTATTCAGTAAATATTCAGTGAAATGAAGCATGGATAGATAGCAATATCCTTTTTCTCCTGGTGGAGTAAAGCAATCATTTCTGTTTGTATTCTTCCCAACAAGCACATACAGTATTCTGTAATTTGAAAAAAACAAAAGAATTAAAATTTTGCAAAATTACCAAAAGCAGCCAGCAGAGGGAGCCTCTGCAAGGACTCACAGTCTACAAGGTCTTTTTTGTGAGGGTGCAATAAGTTACAAAGGAAATCAACCCCACAGGGAGAGTTTTCAAAATAAACCGAAGTGTTAGCCATTTTTGCATTGGCTGTTTATATTCACCCAACCATCCAAAAGTTCAAACTGTTTTCTTCAAAATGAGAATTCTGATTAAGTTTTAACATTTTCCAATAACAGCCTGAATTGGAAAAATTTAAGAATTCAGGGCCGGGTACAGTGGCTCACGCCTGTAATCCCAGCACTTTGGGAAGCCAAGGCGGGTGGATTACCCAAGGTCATGAGTTTGAGACCAGCTTGGTTAACATGGTGAAACCCCATCTCTACTAAAAATACAAAAATCATTAGCTGGGCATGCAGGTGGGTGCCTGTAATCCCAGCTACTAAGGAAGCTGAGGCAGGAAAATCATTTGAACCCAGGAGACGGAGGTTGCAGTGAGCCAAGACAGTGCCATTGCACTCCAGCCTGGGCAACAAGAACAAAACTATCTCAAAAAAAAAAAAAAAATCAGGAACACATTTCAGTAGAACACTGACTACAAAAGAAAAAAAAAAAGAATTTAGGAACACAAAAATCTTACAGAAAAGTGAGCCTCTGGTTTACTGTTTGATAGAAATGAAAATATGTGTATAAATTACCATTAATTTCAGGACACAGTATGCCACCCTATAATTAACTTAAAATTTTGGGCCAGGTACAGTAGCTCATGCCTGCAATCCCAGCACTTTGGGAGGCCAAGGCAGTGGGATCACTTGAACCCACGCATTTCAGACCATGCTGGCCAATATAGTGAGACCTCATCTCTACAAAAAAACTTAAAAAAATTAGCCGGGCATGGTGGCGCATGCCTGTAGTCCCAGCTACTTGAGAGGCTAGGGTGGTAGGATTGCTCGAGACCAGGAGTTCAAGGCTACAGAAAGCCATGATCACACCACTGCCCTCCAGTCTAGGGGACAGCGTGAGATCTAGTCTCTACCAAAAAAAAATTAATTTAAAAACATAAAAACTTTTTGGTGGCAGAGTACTTATAGAAGGGAGGTTTTAGGACACAAAGTGAACTGCCAATCTTTACTTAATATATTCATAGACTCTAAACATTTTTTACAGAATCTACTATTGTACTCTTACATTTTTTGTTGTTGTTGTTGTTGAGACTGAGTCTGGCTCTGTCGCCCAGGCTGGAGTGCAGTGGCCGGATCTCAGCTCACTGCAAGCTCCGGCTCCCGGGTTTACGCCATTCTCCTGCCTCAGCCTCCAGAGTAGCTGGGACCACAGGCGCCCGCCACCTCGCCCGGCTAGTTTTTTGTATTTTTAGTAGAGACGGGGTTTCACCGTGTTAGCAAGGATGGTCTCGATCTCCTGACCTAGTGATCCGCCCGTCTCGGCCTCCCAAAGTGCTGGGATTACAGGCGTGAGCCACCGCGCCCGGCCTGTACTCTTACATTTCAAGAACAAATGGGCCAGGCGCGGTGGCTCACGCCTGTAATCCCAGCACTGTGGGAGGCCAAGGCGGGTGGATCACCTGAGGTCAGGAGTTCAAGACCAGCCTGGCCAACATGGTGAAACCCTGTCTCTACTAAAAGTACAAAAATTAGCCAGGCGTGGTGCCGTGTGCCTGTAATCCCAGCTACCCAAGAGGCTGAGGCAGAAGAATCACTGGAACCCAGGCGGAAGAGGCTGCAGTGAGCTGAGATTGCGCCATTGCACGCCAGCCTAGGTGACAGACCAAGACTCCATCTCGAAAAAAAAGGAAAAGAAAAAAAAAAAAAGAACAAATGGTTTAAATACAACTTGTATGCCTTACCCAACTACCATTTTAGTTCACATAGGCACCAATGGCGCCTCTTTGTTCCTTAGTATTTCTGCCTACTTAAATGATTTAAGTATTTTCTCTTACAGCTAAATATTCATGCAGATTACCATTTTAATAGCAAATGCCTTCCAATATATGCTTAATTTTTCCTGTTTATTAATAAAACTACGATGCTCATCCTTATAGTTGAATGTGAATACATATCACAAAGATAAATTTCTAGAGGCGAAACTGGAATTATTGAGGTCATATCCCTTATTTTAGGCTTCTAATATACTAAACTGCCCTCCAGAAAGGCTGTATTTATTCAACAACCCTTTTGCCTGTTTTCACAGTCTGGCTCAAACTAGTATTGTCACTATATTTAGTATAGTTATTCTAAAACAAGTTAACAATATTCTGGGCAAAATGACATCATATTTTTTTTTTTTGGAGATGGGGTCTCGCTCTGTCACCCAGGCTGGAGTGCAGTGGCACGATCTCTGCTCACTGCAATCTCTGTCACCCAGGCTTAAGCAGTTGTCCTGCCTCAAGCTGGGATTACAGGTGCACGCCACCATGCTGGGCTAATTTTTGTATTTTTAGTAGAGACGGGGTTTCGCCACATTGGCCAGGCTGGTCTCGAACTCCTGACCTCAGGCAATCCACCTGCTACGACCTTCCAAAGTGCTGGAATTATTACAGGTGTGAGCCACCCCACCTGGCCCCATATGGTTTCTTTACTTTGTCTCTGATTATTATTATTATTTTTTTGAGACAGTTTTGCTCTATCGCCCAGGCTGGAGTGCAATAGTGCAATTTCAGTTCACTGCAAACTCCACCTTCCGGGTTCAAGCGATTCTTGTGCCTCAGCTTCCTGATTAGCTGGGATTACAGGCCCCCGCCACCATGCCTGGATAATTTTTGTATTTTTAGTAGAGATGGGGTTTCACCACATTGGGCAGGCTGGTCTCAAACTCCTGACCTCAGGCAATCTGCCTGCCTTGGCCTCCCAAAGTGATAGGATTACAGGTGTGAGCCACCACACCTGGCCATTACATTTTCTTAATCTATTTGTTGATCACATGTCTTCTTTTCTGACTTAGCTGTTCATGTCCCTTGACCATTTTCTTCTGATTTGTAGGAACTTTAAAAAAAAAAAAAATTAAGAACAATCTTTTATCTATTATAAGTGTTACGAATATAATATCTAAAAATGACTGTCCCAAGATTTGTAAAGACATTGGGTGTGTCATAACATGAGCTCAAGATCATCAGGGTTGTAGTTGGAACAGAGGAGAAGGAATTCTATGTTCTCTACTCAGCTTTAGTGAACACTGGGTGAGAGAAAATGATATACTATGTTTAAATGCTGTAGACTCAGTAACAAAGATAATACTGCTCATTATGATCCAAGAATATATAACATTTTAGTTACCTTATGGTCAATGAGATCATTTTTCAGACCTCTTGGCTTTCTCATCATAGACCAATAATCATGACACACGCCACTAACATACCACTGCTGCCCATAAACCTGCATGTGCAGCAAGACTTGCTGCGTCAGCCAGCGTGGGGATTGTTCAAAACAAGGCCATCATTTCAAAGATGTGCAAATGTCAGTGAGAGCTTAGGCTCCGGTGAAAGTAAGAGGCACGTTACCATGTGGATGGGACTTGAACCACGATTCTAGAGCCTTCTAAACTGATCTGGGGGGCATAGGCTTCTTTATTCTCAATCTGTGCTGTGTCAACCACCACCTAAGATAGAAAAAAACAACAAATAACAACAACCAGCTTTCAGAGAGGAAAACGCATCAGAATAAAATCCAATACATAAAATGACTCTCTAAGAACTATTCCCCTAGCAGCCTAGTTATGCCAAGGCCAGTCAGGGCCCCACGAAGACAACAGCAAGCAGTAAAGATGACCAAATCTAAGAACATTTCAACAAACACAAACCACATTCTGGGCATGGGATTTACTGAACTGGCAAGCACCTCTAGCACTTTTTCCAAACTATCAATATGTTAATTAGGAGGAATTAATGTGTGTCCTTTATCTTAGTATTTTTTACTTTATGCACTTAAAAGAAGTAAAAGTATCACTGAAAGTCAAACCAGGCTGGGTGCAGTGGCTCACGCCTGTAATCCCAGCACATTGGGAGGCTTAGGTGGGTGGATCACTTGAGGTCAGGAGTTTGAGACCACCATGGCCAACATGGTGAAACCCCCATCTCCACTAAAAATACAAAAATTAGCCAGGCATGGTGGTCCTGCAGTGCAAGCTACTTGGGAGGCTGAGGCAGGAGAACTGCTTGAACCCGGGAGGCAGAGGTTGCAGGGAGCTGAGATCGTGCCACTGCACTCCAGCCTGGGCGACAGAGCGAGACTCCATCTCAAAAAAAAAAAAAAAAAAGTCAAACCAATGCTTCAGATAAGCCCATTTGTCATGACATGCCCAGAAGTGGATGAAACTTTTTTTAAAGATTATTTTATCCTCAACTATCAATAAAAACTGAACTACTTCAGGACAGAGGAAGAACTAACCCCTTTTTGAATAATTTCCTCTTATTTCCAGGAAGAGTCTTTAATACTAGATAGGTGATAGAGTATCCTATGTAATCTAGAGTCTGACAAAGTGATGAATATATTTCAAATAACTAAAAGAATGTTTTTATTTTATTTTATTTTTATTTTTTTGAGATAGAGTCTTGCTGTGTGGCCCAGGCTGGAGTGCAGTGGCGCTATCTCGGCTCACTGCAAGCTCCGCCTCCTGGGTTCACGCTCTTCTCCCGCCTCAGCCTCCGAGTAGCTGGGACTACAGGCGCCCGCCACCACGCCCGGCTAGTTTTTTTATACTTTTAGTAGAGACGGGGTTTCACCATGTTAGCCAGGATGGTCTTGATCTCCTGACCTTGTGATCCACCCGCCTCGGCCTCCCAAAGTGCTGGGATTACAGGCTTGAGCCACCGCACCCGGCCAAGAATGTTTTTAAAAATCATAAAATATTTAAAAACCAAATCTGTAATATTTCAGAAGGGGTAAAACTGTATAGAGTTGTGTATCATATTCCAAACTCAGCCTCTAATGCAGCCAGCTTTCACTGGTTTAAAGAGTTCCCATAGCTGATCTGCAATGACCTTTGGAAAAAACTTCCTGTCAAAGGAATAGCCATTGTTGGACCACACAGGTGTTTCCTCTCTCCTCCCATCCCCAGAACCATAACCTAAAGTCACACATAAAAGCATCCTGCAATCAAGACGCAAGGAACTAGGAAGAAGTTTCTGCTCTCTGAATAACATGGAACTTTTTTTTTTTAACCTACAGTGTTTTCTCAAAATACCCTTGTGCCTTTTGGCCTTATTTTGCACACTTCTTTCAGGGGAACTCATTGGCATGGTCCTTGCAGTTTCAGCTAAATGGTCTCTGGGAGTATAGATCGGTATCGTAAAGCCAATGGGCTTTTCCATGCTTCAGCAAGGCATGTCTGGTTTACTACTTCTTTTGGAGGTCCCTATACTGAGGAAAAGATCCCAAAGGAAATGTAACTCATTACTGTGAACAGGCCCTCATCTGAATCTCCACAAGGCAGCCCCACCCGGAGCTGGGCTGCCTGAGCCCTGACCCGCTTGAAACAAAAGGACAGCATACCCTCAATAGCTCTTTATGTGAATAAAGTAGGAATCAGACTAAAAAACAAGTTCTTTAATTTTCTTAATCTCCAATTAGGTCCTTCCAACCTCTGACTGAAATGCCGTATCTTTTTTTTTTTTTTTTTGAGACTGGGTCTTACTCTATCACCCAGGCTGGAGTGCAGTAGCGCAATCTCGGCTCATTGCAACCTCTGACTCCCAGGCTCAAGTGATTCCCATGCTTCAGCCTCTCAAGTAGCTGGGATTACAGGTGCCCGCCACCACACCTGGCTAATTTTTGTATTTTTAGAGACGAGGTTTCGCCATGCTGGCCAGGCTGGTCTTGAACTCTTGACCTCAGGTGATCTACCTGCCTCGGCCTCCCAAAGGGTTGGGATTACAGGTAGGTGTGAGCCACCATGCCCTGCCACCATATCTTTTTCAAAAGTTGTCATTTACTAGAAAGGGAGATCAAATACATAAGATTCTATGGGTCAGTGGTGCAAACAAAAAGCTACATGGTGGTTTCAGATGTTGATCTCCTGACCCACTCAACTCTGGCCAAAGTTTTTTTTCCTCTGAAAGATGAACAAATCATTATTTTTTAGTTGATGTTACTTTACTGCTAAGAAGGAGATAAACAGAACTGGTATACAGTGACTGGATCAGGGCACTACTTATACCATTGTGGTCAAGGTAGGCCTCTCACAGGAGGTGATTTTGGAGCTGACACCAGGAAGATAAGGAGTGACCCACATGATAATCAGAAAGAAGAGTATTTTCAGATAAAAGGGGCATCAAGAGCACAGGCCTGGGACAGGAAGAAGCATGGGATGTTTGAGCAACAGACATCCAATGCAGGTCCAGAATAGGGGCTAGGTTAAGGGGCCCTGTCAAATTGTTACTAATGTAATTTTTCTTTTCTTTTTTTTTTTTTTTTTAAGGGCCAGGTATGGTGGCTCATGCCTGTAATTCTAGCAGTTTGGGATGCCTAAGTGGACGGATCACGAGGTCAGGAGTTCGAGACCAGCCTGGCCAACATAGTGAAACCTTGTCTCTACTAAAAAATACAAAAATTAGCCAGGCATGGTGGTGCATACCTGTAGTTCCAGCTACTCGTGAGGCTGAGGGAGGAGAATCACTTGAACCCGGGAGGCAGAGGTTGTGGTGAGCCGAGATCACGCCACTGCACTGCAGCCTGTGCAACACAGCGAGACTCCATTTCAAAAAAAAAAAATTACCCGGGTGTGGTGGCGGGCACCTGTAATCTCAGTTACTTGGGAAGCTAAGGCAGGAGAATCACTCAAACCTAGGAGGCAGAGGTTGCGGCGAGTTGAGATCGTGTCACTGCACTGCAGCCTGGGTGACAGAGCAAGAGTCTGTCACAAAAAAAAAAAAGAGAAAAATAGAGGCAAGGTCTCACTATGTTGCCCAGGCTAATTTAAAACTCCTAGACTTAAGCAATCCTCCTGCCAAAGTGCTGGGACTACAGGCATGACCCATGGGGCCCAGCCTGTAATAGTTTTCTTAAAATGAGCAAAGCCCATAGCATCATTTTGCAACTAGGTTCCCTGCAAATATGTATTATCAATCTGATTTTTCTTTTTCTTTTTCTTTTTTTTTTTTTTTTGAGATGGAGTCTTGCTCTGTCACCCAGGCTGCAGTGCAGTGGCCGGATCTCAGCTCACTGCAAGCTCCTCCTCTCGGGTTCACGCCATTCTCCTGCCTCAGCCTCCCGAGTAGCTGGGACTACAGGCACCCGCCACCTCGCCCGGCTAGTTTTTTGTATTTTTTAGTAGAGACGGGGTTTCACCGTGTTAGCCAGGATGCTCTCGATCTCCTGACCTCGTGATCCGCCCATCTCGGCCTCCCAAAGTGCTGGGATTACAGGCTTGAGCCACTGCACCTGGCCTGATTTTTCTTTTTAAAGAGATTTTTTAAATGCTGCTCTTCCTTTACCTTGTCTACCTTCCTGGTCTAAATTCCATAGCACCAAATAACTTTTTAAATTATTCAATATTTTCACACATGTGTCTGCACCACATCCTCATATGCTTGAAACATCTTGGTATTCCACCTATCATCCACCACCCGCACTCACTCACCAGTCCAGCCTGGCCAAACAGCAGCTGCACCGCCGTCTTGCAGGCACCCCGCCATGTGGATGGGCAAACCTGGTTCAGCACTTCAGTCACAGGAAAATCATCCCTGGATGTGATTCCATTATAGCAGCCTGCTTCCTTCATCAGCTGTAACATTGTATGCTATAGATTGATAAGAAGAGAGTTCACACCTCAAGACAAAGCCATGCAAGGTTCTAAAATTTGTAAAAATGCATTTATACAATCATCCTTAAAAGAAGAGCATTTTATTTATATGTTTTTTGAGACATGGTCTCACTCTATCGTCTAAGCTGCAGACCAGTGGCATGAACATGGCTCACTGCAGCCTCGACCCCTCAGGCTTATGTGATTCTCCTGCTTCAAGCCTCCCCAGTAGCTGGGACCACACAGGTAGGTGCACACCACCACACTCAACTAATTTTTAAATTTTTTGTAGACGTGGAGTCTTGCTCTTCTACTTTCTAGCTGTGTGACCTTGGGTATCAGTTCCCAGGTGTGGCAGGTGGGCCAAAGGGCAGCACCCCCACCTCGTGGGTGAGCATTAAGTGAGACAATGATGTGGAGCACCTGGCACAATGGCTGGAACACATGATGTTCCACAAATAATCATTATCACTGCAGCATTATGACAGTATCTCTCTTCTTATGTAATTCATACAAGTCCACGGACAGACATTAATCATAAACAATATCTTATAGTGTACTTTCAAACCCTTTCTGTTAAACATCTGAATAAAATTATGAATAAAACTCTCTTGGCCCAGCTCGGTGGCTCATGCCTGTAATCCCAGCACTTTGGGAGGCCAAGTAAGGTGGATCAGCCGAGGTCAGGAGTTCGAGATCATCCTGGCCAACACAGTGAAACCCCGTCTCTACTAAAAATACGAAAACTAGCCAGGCTTGGTAGCACACGCCTGTAGTCCCAGCTTCTTCAGAGGCTGAGGCAGGAGGATTGCTTGAACCCAGGAGGTGAAGGTTGCAGTGAGCTGAGATAGATCACACCACTGTACTCCAGCCTGGACGAGAGAGTAAAACTCCATCTCAAAAAACAAAAAAAAAACTTGCTTGACAAACGTCTGATTAAAGTCTCCATAGGTCTGCTTTTTAATTTTTTTTTTTTTTTTTTTTTTTAAGACAGAGTTTTGCTCTTGTTGCCTAGGCTGGCGTGCAATGGCACAATCTTAGCTCACTGCAGCCTCCACCTCATAGGTTCAAGCAATTCTCCTGCCTCAGCCTCCCGAATAGCTGGGACTACAGGCGTGCGCCACCACACCCGGCTGATTTTTGTAATTTTAGTAGAAATGGGGTTTCACCATGTTGATCAGGCTAGTCTCAAACTGCTGACCTCAGGTGATCCACCTGCTTTGGCCTTCCAAAGTGCTGAGATTACAGGCGTGCACCACCACACCTGGCTGATTTTTGTATTTTTAGTAGAAATGGGGTTTCACCATGTTGATCAGGCTAGTCTCAAACCGCTGACCTCAGGTGATCCACCTGCTTTGGCCTTCCAAAGTGCTAGGATTACAGGCGTGAGCCACCACGCCCAGCCCCATTTTGTTTTTTAATCTACATCCTTTGCAAGCCTTTACATTTCTCTTAAGAACTCTATTTTCAAGTTCACACTCAGTTGCTGGAACCCCATGGAAAGCTACCGTCTTAAGTTTCAGATTGTCGGCGGCCGACTCATTAAAGGAGACGCCCTTCAGGAAGTGCGATCCTATCTGCACAGGGACGGTGGGGAGCTCACACTGCATGGGCTGCGGGGGTGTCTGCCTCCGCCCTGTCTGCTGGGCTTCCGCCTCGCTGCAGCAGCCCTGGAAAAGGCACGGATGGAAGAGGAGAGGTGACCCATCGCTCATCTGTTAAAACACTTGGTTCACATTACACTGCAGCAGCAGCACCCTAGGTCCCCAGAGCTTTAGGAAGGAAAAGCGTACCTGCAAACTTGCTTCAATTGCCTTTGGATTCAGGTGGAAGCCAGCTTTCATTGCATATTCACAGTGTCCTAAGCTTTCCAGAGCTATCTTATATGCCTGGAAATAAGTTATTTTTAACAATCAAGATCATAAAGCAAATTATAAGATGACAAAGTTCAATGGAAATAGAAGTCTTAAATTTCTATAGCTATTAAAAGACTCGAGGCCAATTACTACTCTATAACCCTTTGTAATTGGTTCAACATCACAACTTTAACTCCCTCCCTTGTTTCTATCCCATAGAAATCAGTATGTCAGTTCTGAAAAACTTACTTGCAAAGCACTGTCAATTTTTATGTTCAGTTCTTTTAGCTGGTGCTCAGGAATTGCTGCACTTTGAGAACAAAAGAGTTGTTGAACTTCAATTCCTGCCAGGCAACCATCACAGCCTCTTTCTCTTAGCCTAGATGTCGCCTGCAACATATATAGTAACTGGTAGGTAAAAGAGGGTTGCACAGTTCTTGCAACATTAGACCCACAATAACAAGAAAAACTCCCTCAACTAAAATGCAGCAATAAACCATCTAAGCAAATAAACTAGAAGTTCTAGATTGTTTGTATTGCAAAGTGAGCAGCCCAAATTTTGAAAGCCTAATTAACCATCCTGAAGATAAAGGAAATCTCCCTTTATTTTATTTTATTTTTTTTTGAGACAAGGTCTTACTCTGTCACCCAGGCTGGAGTGCAGTGGTGCTATCTCGGCTAACTGCAACCTCCACCTCCCAAGTTCAAGCAATTCTCCTGCTGAACTCAGCCTCCCGAGTAGCTGGGATTACAGGCGCCCACCACCGTGCCCAGTTAAGTTCTGTATTTCTAGTAGAGATGGGGTTTCATGATGTTGGGTCAGGCTGGTCTTCAACTCCTGACCTCAGGTGATCCACCCACCTCGGCCTCCCAAAAGCTGGGATTACAGGCTTGAGCCACGACACCCGGCCGAAATCTCCCTTTATTTTAGGAACCCTGGAAAAAAGACTTACCTACTTGTTATTTGTTATATATATACATATATATATTCAGACATTTTTAACTTTCCTGCTTTAAAAAGACAGGTTACCTAGAATATTGGCACTTGGAGTTTCCAGAATAAAAAAAAAAGAAAGGAAGAACATACATGGTTGGGCATTCCTATACAGTGAAGGAAAAGGCCACATGAATACAGAACAGGAAACTATACATTGGCATGTTAACAGAAAAACAGAGCTTTTGAAATCTGCACAGAAAATTAAATATTTATTGTTCAGTCACTACATATGTTTATGAAGAGTAGATAAGCAAGATAGAAAAGGAGAAACTAATCTCTGTCATTTGATGATTAAATGCAGAAAATATATACATGGATCAGGACAAGAAGAGAATACAGAAAAATATATATTTGATTTATTAGATGGGATTACAGATGAACTGTTTTTAGGTTTCTATTTTTGTTGCAATTCTGTGAACCAAGTAACATTTTTTAGCAGTTAACTTTTGTTCTGCTGGGCCAGTGTAGGAGTTGTAATATTTACAAAACTTGCAGACTACAGGAAAATGACTAGCTGCTATAATGCCGTAAAGTTCCAAAGCTTTGGTTTCACAAACTGTATGTAAACACCCTTCCCTGAAGCCTAAGAGTCTCACAGTTTAAAACTGTTTGACTCTTTCTAAGGATCTTTCAGTCAAATACTTAGCTCACGCAGGGTGCGGTGGCTCAAGCCTGTAATCCCAGCACTTTGGGAGGCTGAGACGGGCGGATCATGAGGTCAGGAGATCGAGACCATCTTGGCTAACATGGTGAAACCCCGTCTCTACTAAAAAATAAAAAAAACTAGCCGGGCGAGGTGGCGGGCGCCTGTAGCCCCAGCTACTTGGGAGGCTGAGGCAGGAGAATGGCCTAAACCCAGGAGGCGGAGCTTGCAGTGAGCTGAGATCTGGCCACTGCACTCCAGCCTGGGCGACAGAGCAAGATTCCGTCTCAAAAAAAAAAAAAAATTTAGCTCACAAGGTGGTGTATTAGGTTCATGCTGGAGCACAAAGCTGCTCCTTACCCCCTCCTGGAGCTGACAGCCTCATGGCCAAAAAGGTGAACAAGGAAAACATAATTATAAATGGAGAAAAAACACTGAAGGAAACAGAGGACTATACCAGGGAGTGTCCTAGACACCCAGAAAGCAGTATTTAGGGTGAGAATTAGAGGAGAAGGTCATGAATGGAATTGCATGTGTGTGGGGTGGGGTGGGGGTGTCAAGACCTACAGGCGGGTCCATGAAACAGGCCAAGGATCCAAGATAACAAAGACACATCCAAGGAACTAGAGCCCAGCGAGCGAGGGCAGGGTGGCCACTGATAAGGCTGGCCATCAAGGCAGGAGCCAGACTAGGCAGGTCTAGGCAGGTCGTGCCGAGGGGTCCACGTGCTACCCTAAGGAAATGAGAAGCAACATCATCCAATTTTAAAATGAAGGAGAGCAAGACAGGGAGGGGAGAAGTAACGATTCCCTGAACGAGGGTAGTGATAAAGGACATGGAAGAAGGGGACAGATCTGGGATAGGATTTTGGAGGTGGGACCTGCCTGGTTTTCTTAAGGACTGGACTAGGTGTGGGGACATGATGGAAATGCTGAAGGATAAATCTCAGCTTTCTCAAGTGAACAACCCAGTGTGGGATGGCACCACTTACTAGCATAGAGAGGGTCTAGGGAGGAACAGGTGAGTGGAGAGAGGCTATGCGAGACCCCTGGTAGCAGCTGAGCTCAGGTGCCTGAAGCCCACAGGAAGTGGGCGGCTCACTGATCACACACATTTGAGCCCCCTCCCAGGACACAGGTGGCTTTTTGAGTCCAAGACTGTATGGAGAACCCCTAAGGAGAAGGGCACTATAACTGAGCCTGGAGAAACTCATTAAGAAGTTGTGTTGAGGAAGGAGAGGCCAGTAAACTAGATGAAGAAAGGATGACCCAAGAGAAAAGAAAGCTTGGTTCCTGGATGTCACAAGATGAGCGTATTTCCAGGGAGGAATATTCTCCACACTGCTGTGAGCTGCTGAAAGTTGTTGAAAGGCTTCCCTGGATTTGAAAACACGGAAGGAAGGCACCAATGACCTTGATAAGAGAAGGCATGTTCTTTTATAGGAGTGGAAGCCAGATTTCAGCAAGCTGAATGACATCATGTACATAAAGTTTCAGACTGTGTAAAATAATACCTTATATATGGATACATTCATATATGGAAAAATACTAAAATACGCACAAGAATCACAGGCTTCAAATTCAAAAGACGTTATTTCTAGAGACAAAGGGATGAATAAGAAAGTGGAGAGGTACAAAAGGGATTCAAGTGAATTTGCAGACTGGGTGCAGGAGCCTAGGAGCTGGGGACCAGCCTGGGAACATAGCAAGACCCTGTCTTTGCAAAAATAAATAAACAGTAAAATAAAATAAATAATTAGCCAAGCATGGTGGTGCATGCCTATAGTCTGAGCTACTCAGGAGGATTGCTTGAGCCAAGGAGGTCAAGACCGCAGTAAGCTGTGATCACCACTGCACACCAGCCTGGGCAACAAAGCAAGACACAGTCTTTAAAAAAAAAAAAAAAAAAAAAAAAAAAAAAAAAAAAAAAAAAAAAAGGTGCACTGGTGATACTTTTCTGTTAAAAATATGTAACAGGCATGAGCAAATATGGCAGGCAGCTAAAAGGAAGATACTGATGGGTATGAAATGTTCTATATGCCTGAAATACTTCAACAATAATTACTTTTTAGACTACTCTGGGTAAACTGTCTATGGGGTGTGCCAGGAGCAGTAAGGAGCCACAGGGTGCAGTAAAAATAAAAGAGTAATTTTTTAGAATGAATGAAAAGTGAAAGAAAGGCAGACAACTACTCCAAGAAGTTGGCTGAGAAAAGAGCAGAGAAATGGACTTTTCTGTGGGAAGCATCTTTGTACACTGGCGGGAACAGGCTGAGGATGAGGGCGAGAAAACACTGCGTCACACCACAGAAGTTGGGCCCTCGACGATGGGGGCAAGGAGGGCACCGGGCAATCTTCGACAGGAGGAGACAGCACCTCCCCTGCTGTCATGAGGCAGGAGAAGGAAGAAAAGATGGGTGTGAAGTGGGGTGGCAGGGGCGGTGGTGGCTTGGCCACATGAGGAAGAAGGGCTGCCATCAGGGAGATTCTATTTTCTCAGTGTAGTGGGAGGTGGCATCACTGGCTGAAAGCAAAGGAGTGTAAAAAGAGCAGAAAGGCCTGGACAGACTAAAATGGTGGCAGAAAAGGTCAAGGTGAAAAGGTCAAGAGAGCACTTGGAGGCCTCCTACTGTGGGCTGGTCCTCAGCATGAGTGGTCCAGAAGATGGAGCAGGGGACCAAGGCAGGTGTTAGGTTCACATGTGTGAGCTGAACAGTCAGGAGGCTGGGGCCCAGCAGCCAAGAGGACACCAAGGGCTGTAAAGTCACACGACAAGGCGACAAGGCGCAGGTCTGGACCTCAGGGTCCAGCCATCTACAATAAAGCCAACTGGTCCCACCCCCACACACAGCCTCCAATTAGCATTCCAGGGCCTTTCTGATGAACAGAAAGCCAGCTCAAGGAAAGTCTTTGGCATGAAAGACAGACCAAAACATGCAAGCAAACAGGAAAAAGACCAAAACATGCAAGCAAACAGTGAAAATTAAAAAGAAATGACAACAATGCAGCAAATGGCATGAAATTGAATAATAAAAAAACTAGAGACTGGACAATATTAAGATGTGAAAAATCATGTTTTGAAAATTTTACTAAAGAAAATTTCCAAAACATAAAATGAAATACTTTGCCAAGTTCATTATGGAATGATGTGAACTAGACATTAATGAATCACTATACTGTTAACTATAAATTATGGTTTACTCTGTGTTTGCCTTTTGGGATAGTTTTAAAAAATTATTTTTTGGCCCGGGTGGTGCCTCACGCCTGTAATCCCAGCACTTTGGGAGGCCAAGTCAGGTGGATCACCTGAGGCCAGGAGCTTGAGACCATCCTGGCCAGCGTGACAAAACCCCATCTCTACTAAAAATACAAAATTGGCTGGGCATGGTGGCAGGCACCTATAATCCCAGCGACTGAGGAGGCTGAGGCAGGAGAACTACTTGAACCCGGGAGGCGGAGGGTGCAGTGAGCGGGGATTGTGCCACTGCACTCCAGCCTGGGCGAAAGAGCAAGACTCTGTCTCAAAAAAAAAAAAAAAAAAAAAAAAGAAAAGAAAATTATCTTTTACTCTGTAAAATGGAGCAGTAAGTCCTAGTTAAAGTCTCAACTTCTAATGTTTATTTTTTATTTCTCATACTGGAAACAAAGATGTAGTAAAATGCCTACAAGAAATGTCACCCATGGCCAGGAGTGGTGGCTCACACCTGTAATCCCAGCATTCTGAAAGGCCAAGGAGGGTGGATCACCTGAGGTCAGGAGCTCGAGACCAGCCAGGCCAACATGGTGAAACCTCATCTCTACTAAAAATAAAAAAATTAGCCTGGCGTGGTGGTGTGTGCCTGTTATCCCAGCTACTCAGGAGGCTGAAGCAGGAGAATTGCTTGAACCTGGGAGGTGGAGGTTGCAGTGAGCCAAGATCATGCCATTGCACTCCAGCCTGGGCAACAAGAGCACAACTCTGTCTCCCAAAAGAAATGTCACTGATCATAGGCAAAAGTCTCCTTAAAACAGACTTTTTCAGAGCTGTTTTTGATTGCCTTTTATTTAAGCTTAAATGCTTCTGGCTGTGGAAAAGGAATAGAGAATGCCACATCAGAGTGACTAGGAAAGCAACCCTGTGCTAGGCTGGAATCGCCCCACCGGAGTGGCTCCCTGCAGCCCACCATTCAGTCATAAGGTTGTCACCACGAGAGGAGACTCGCACAATTCTCCCCCACGTTATTGCTGATGACCATGCCACACCATCCCACACCACTGTGCTCTCTATGCACTAGGGAGCCAACCTCTGGTCTAGCTCTTGCATGATGGTTAGATTTTATAAACATATCTGCTGTGCTGGGAAATAGCCAATCTTCCAAGGGATAAAAGACTTCATGTTGGTCCGGTGTGGTGGCTCATGCCTGTAATCCCAGCACTTTCAGAGGCCAAGGCAGGTAGATCACAAGGTCAGGTGTTCAAGACCAGCCTGGCCAAGATGGTGAAACCCTGCCTCTACTAAAAATACAAGACTTAGCTGGGCTAAAATACAAAAATTAGCCAGGCGTGGTGGCGGGCACCTGTAATCTCAGCTACTTGGGAGGCTGAGGCAGAGAATTGTTTGAACCCAGCAGGCGGAGGCTGCAGTGAGCCAAGATCGTGCCACTGTACTCCAGCCTGGGTGACAGGGTGAGACCCCGTATCAAAAACAAAAAACAAAAAACAAAAAAAAACTTCATGAAGTCACATAAAGCATACTAGAGAACTGCTCAAATCACATGTAAAGCAACTGACAAATGAGGATGTAGGCAGAGTTAGACCAATTAAGAATCTTGTCCACGCCTGTAATCCCAGCACTTTGGGAGGCGGGAGGCAGGCAGATCATGAGGTAATCCCAGCACTTTGGGAGGCCGAGGCAGGCAGATCACAAGGTCAAAAGATCAAGATCATCCTGGCTAACACGGTGAGACCCCGTCTCTACCAAAAATTAAAAAAAAAAAAAAAAAAAAAAGCCGGGCGTAGTGGCAGGCGCCTATAGTCCCAGCTACTCAGGAGGCTGAGGCAGGAGAATGGCGTGAACTTGGGAGGCAGAGCTTGCAGTGAGCCAAGATCACGCCACTGCACTCCAACCTGGGGGACAGAGTGAAACTCCATCTCAAAACAAAACAAAACAAAACAAAACAAAACAAAAAAGAATCTTGTCTGGGCACAGTGGCTCATGTCTGTAATCCCAGCACTTTGGGAGGCAGAGGTAGGTGGATCACTTGAGCCCAGCAGCTCAAGACCAGCCTGGACAACACAGTGAGACTCCATCTCTACCAAAAAAAAAAAAAAAATAGAATAATAGTAATAGTAATAATAATAATAATAAGCTAGACATGGTGGCATGAGCCTGTAGTCCCAGCTACTTGGAAGAGGCTGAGGTGGGAGGATCTCTTGAGCCTGGAGGTCCAGGCTGTAGTGAGCCTTGATCACAGCACTGCACTTCAGCCTAGGCAGCAGAGCGAGACCCTGTCTCAAAAAAAAAAAAGAAAGAAAGAAAGAAAAAGAAAAGAAAAACTTAAAGAATTTAAAAAGTTTCAAATATTCCAAGCCCTGCTATAGGGAATGATTTGACTAGCAAAAAACAGACAAAATTCCCTGTGTCCACTGAGCTCTCACCCTGTTGTGGTTTTATCTTTGGAGCCTGCCATCCCATCTGTCTGCCAAACACTCCTGCTCGCCTGCCTCGATGCCTGGCTGGCCACTTACCCTCCCCAGACAGCTCCACCCCGTCTTTCCTGACTTGGGTGCCAGCCTCTTCTCACTGGTGCCCCATCTTAGCTTTCCTGCAGCACTACTGTTCAGAGACATGACCCTCCCTTCCTCTGGCTCCCGCACATCTCCATCCTGGCCCCTTAACCCTGTTTTTGTAAGCCTATTCTCCCAGCAGGCTGTGAGTAGAGGCTGTCATCCTAGTGCCTGGCACAAAGTGGGCATTCACAAAGATGTTCACTGTTAAATGAATGAACAAGCTAATGAAACAGTTTAAAATGTACATTTCTAAATAAAATGGCTCTTTTGAGAATCAACAGGCAAAGGCCCTCTGGAGCCTCTCCTATTTGAACACAGGTACCAATCTCCCCAAAGCCAGGGTTACCTCAGCAGCCCCCCGCCAGGACCGCACAGCTTCTTCCAGTTCAGGTGTGTGGCCCATGCCAGATAAGCTGCCGCCACTGCTGCTGTTCTTTTTTTCTGGCACAATGACCTCAGCAAAGCAAGAGTGAGCCACCGGCTGGACCTTCTGTAATGCATGAGTCAAAAACTGGAAATGGACTTGCACCACAGTCAGGAAACATCGCCCCAACACCTGTGAAAACAAGACAGCCAGGGATGTTTAGGTTGTGGGTTGCTGTTGGATTCACGCAGTAAATTTTCAGTGACCAACTTAATAGAAGCAATGGTTAACTGGAATTCCAAAATCATACAAAGGTAAAAGGCCACCATGCTTCAGAAGGATCTGCCTTTGTTTTTGTGTTTGGACCTCGGTGACTGATGCCTAGAAGTCAAAACATTTCCATCAAATAACAAGGTCCAAGGCTGAAATAAGTCTTCCCATTTCCTACCAACTTGCCCCTAATCCTGTTCTCCACTCCCTACATTTGGACTCACACCACTTCTGGTGTCTTTGAGCTCCTGCTGAACCACAGTCATCCACAACTGCAATTATGTCCACACAGTATTCAGAAGGTAAAGAAGAAAACTGTGCAACTGAAAATCTGAAAGAAGGCCAATTTGACCATAAGACATTCCATTGAAAATGGAATCCAAATATACTGGTTATTTTAGTAAGAGTGTTAACATAGTTATTAACATAGTCATATGTCATCTTTCCAGTCTTACGAAACAAAGCTGACAGACCAGTCTTCCAGGAGTCAAGAAAATATAATGGACAGCTCCATTCATGAGTACCATTAGCCTGATATATATCCGTGATTGGCTGCTAATAGACCAAGTAGGAAATTAACTTAAAAAATACTATACACATAAATATGTAATTATAATAAGATGTATACTAAATACATACTACGTGCCACAAACATTTTCAGATATGATTGTGCATTTCTCTGGCAGCCTTCTGGTATGGGCTAAGGCTGTTCTGACAGCTCCTTTGCTGCTCCTCCCTGTTACTCTCTTGCGTAAACCAGTTACAATGTGTTCTCTATCATTTATTATTTATCTTTCTTTTTTTTTGAAATGGAGTCTCGCTCTGTCACCCCGGCTGGAGTGCAGTGGCATGATCTCGGCTCACTGCAACCTCCACCTCCCGAGTTCAAGCAATTCTCTGACCTGAGTGCACCATCACACCCAGCTAATTTTTGTATTTTCAGTAGAGATGGGGTTTCACCATGTTGGCCAGGCTGGTCTCAAATTCCTGACCTCAGGCACTCCACCTGCCTCGGCCTCCCAAAGGGCTGGGATTACAGACGTCAGCTACCATGGCCGGCCTTATTTCCTCTTTAACACAGGGCAAAAACCTGCCACTTACAAAGCAACCTGACCACAAACCTTCCAGATTATTGACATTTTTTCCTAATCTCTCATAGTTGTTTTGCCCACATCAGATCTGACAATAATACCAACAAAAACCTTTTGTAGCTCTTTTATCCTGTTTCCTAATAATCTTTTTGTGGAAGATATTTTATATTTCTTTGGCTTATGCAGATTACTTACTCACAACTTACTTTACTGAGTTTGCAATTCACCCAACTGAGCAGGAGTGGACCTGAGAGAGCCAGCCCTCAGCCCACTGCCTCGTGGAAGTAGTGAAGGTCAGGGAACTATGGCCATTGCTTTTTACAAGGAACCAAAATCCAGCACAGTGCCCATGCACTGTCCTGACCCTTGAGCAGCACACAGTAAGACTCAACCTTCCTCTCCCCTCAGATGAACACGTGGACTCTCTGCCTTGTGGCATGCACGTGGACCTCTTACCCTGCCTTACCTCACGCACATGCGCAGATTCCTTGGGCGCAGTACGCAGGTGGACCTCTCGCCTCGCCTCAGCATCTACCCTTTGCCACATGCCCTCTCAGTTCCCACGAGTCAGAGCTGTTTCCTAGAGAAGCAGGGGCAAGCCAGTTCCCAGCATGACACTTACTCTCTCTGAATCCCTCCTCACCCCGTGGAAATCACCAGGACCAACTAAAGCAAACAAAAAACCGCACACAAATCTCACACCAAAGCATCCGCCCTCCAGAGTGAACAACTGGCATTACAGGCTGAAGTCCCCCAAACTCCTGGGCTTCCACTCACACCTCCTCAGAGCACTTCCCCCAGTGCTCTGTGCTAGACTGGGCAGGGTGAGGGACACAGAGGCAGCGCACCCAGGCCAGTTAGACAGGTGCCAGGAGTAGAGTAAGCAGCAGCTATTCAGTCCTATAGAGCACACAGACAGCTTTAGTGGAGCAAGCAGCCTGGACGTGACCAACGCTGGAGAGTCACATGGGCTAGAGCATTCAATCCCAGGAACCACCCTATGAGGTCATCCTCCCTTCACAGACAACAAGATCAAGATATAGAAAGGCTATGAAATATTGTCAAGGTGATACAAACTAGATGTGGTGGACCAGTCACCTGACTCAAATGTCCATGCCCTTCACTTGTGTGCCCCACTGCCTTCAGCAGACTCTAAACTGGCATCGACTGGCACGTGACAGAAACTCCACCTTAAATGGTGTAGGCTGAAGGTATCCTCAATCTCCTCATCCACTGCAGACACAGGGAGGAGGAGTGAGCTGGCTCCCCAGGGACACAAACTCTTCCTCCCTCTCCTTCCTCAGCACCTTGGCAGCTATGGGAAGCTGGAGGAGCAGGAGAAAGGGAAGACGCCATGCTCCATTAGCTCTGGGTTCACACGCTCACAGCTCTGACGGACACAACTGAGTCATTCATTCTCTCATATGGGGATGCCTAATACGCACCAAGCACAAGGAGCTGGGAACACTACCGGAAAGAGAATGAGCAAGTCCCTGCTCTCACCAGGGTGACATTCTAATGGGGGAGTCAACAGGCAATGAACAGATATGCAAGGTCGGGTGCTGCTGGGAAAGGAACACAGGCGGGTGGGAAGGAAAAGGCTCTCCGAGGAAATGACCAAGGGCAAAGAGAGAGCTACCCTATCACCTCCTAAGGGGCAAAGTTCTGAGGAATGGCTAAAGGCCTGAAGGAGGGCCCCCAGATCAAGAACAGGATGCTCTCTGACAAGGCCATCACCCCTGGGGAGAATGAGGTAGAGGAAGCCCTCTTGCTATGGGTGGCAGTAAGAAAGGCAGAACGCTGCCGTAGGAAGGAGTGGGGTAAGAGACTCGGGTCAGTTTTAAAAGGCATTGTCTGTGTTGTCTCCACCACTTAGGACCTGTTTGACCTTGGATGAGTCATTTAACCTAAGCTTCTTTCCTATAAATAAGGAATGAGGACAACAGCTCAGCCACTGTGCACCTCCCTCTCCTACCCAGGATGCCTGGAGACCAACTCAGTCATACAAATTATGATTGTAACAAAATATCTATGCTGTAAATAACTTATTCAAAGCCAATCAAACCAATGTTAATGTTGGACCTTGGAAACAGCCGTTTCATCAGATAGCTGCTCTAAAAATTTACCCAGAGTAGCAGATACATAACCACCACCTTCTCTTAAGAGACTACAGAGCTCAACCTCTTGCCTGCCTTTGCCCACCTTTCCTCTATGAGGATCTCATGTCTTAGCTGAGCTCCCCGCCTGAAACAGACCCCACTCTCCTTGACCCAGGGATGAGCCAGTCCTTGGGTGTCTTCCTGACATAAATTTGGGAGTGTGTGACCCCAGGGCTGTGGAAAGCTATTTTCTCCTTCACATGGAGAAAGTTTCCTGGACTGTGTGGTTCAAATTGCAGAACAGGTATGGGAAGCTGGGGATGAGCAGAGTGGCCAAAGGCAGGCATTTAAGTTTAAAATGCCAGTGAAGCTCTATCAACAGCTACCATTTTTTGAGTGTTTAAATACCAAGCACTTTACGTTTGGTGAACCATCCCTGTGGGGGTGTGAGCAATTCACCCATTTTACAGATGACAACACTGAGGTTTACTGAGATAAAGAAACTTGCTCAATGTCAAGCAGGTAATAAGTGGGGATCTGACACCAGGTCTGTTTGACTCCAAAAGTTGTGTTGCCAACCACCAGACTACACTTTCTTCCTTTGACAAGACCTAGAATGTAGCCACAATAGTGGATAAATACTAATCAGAGGAGGAGCTATGGATTACAGACGGCTATCAGGGTCTACTGAATGAGAGCCTGTTTTCTAGCAACCTTGATGTTGGAGGAGAAGCGTGCATGTTTACCTTCCTATTCCTTTGCACACATACCACATCTGCTGCTAAGGATGTTGTGTTCATGTACGTGACCAGAATACCTTTTCTTTTTGATGATATTTATATTTTATTCAGATTGTAAAACAGTTTTTAATTTAAGGCCTTCCTATTTGGAGCCCCAAAAGACTACCCTTTCTTTTTTTTTTTTTTAGACGGAGTCTTGCTCTGTGGCCCAGGCTGGAGTGCAGTGGCACAATCTCGGCTCACTGCAAGCTCCGCCTCCCAGGTTCCTGCCATTCTCCTGCCTCAGTCTCCAGAGTAGCTGGGACTATACGCGCCTGCCACCACGCCCGGCTAATTTTTTGTATTTTTAGTACAGACGGGGTTTCACTGTGTTAGCCAGGATGGTCTCGATCTCCTGACCTCGTGATTCGCCCGCCTCGGTCTCCCAAAGTGCTGGGATTACAGGCATGAGCCACCGCGCCCGGCCAAGATCACTCTTTCTATACCACTGCAGTTGTTGAAGATCAACCTACATGTCAACTCTGCTTTCCTGGAATATTTCAAAGTTTAGTTGCAGCTATTCCTCTTCTAGGCTCAGGTCTGACTCAGCCTGTAATACCTGCATGTGGTTGGAATTATGGAGTGCCCAAGTCCACCCCATTTCCCAAAATATGGTGTGATTTTCACATCAATACAAATAATTTCTCACTAAGTTCACTGTTCTGCTCAACTCCATGAACTCAAGTTCATCTTTTTTATATCCCTTTAGAGTGAGGAACAAGTAAAACTCTCATACATCCATTTATTTCTGATTACTTTAAAAACCCAGTGTAAGTAGGTCCAAGATGGGTGCTTGCATTAGAAATTCCAAAGCATTCAATCATTTCTTTCTCTTCAATACTCATTTATACCTTAAATGTTACATTAGGTTCCTAGTGTCCTCAACCTTGTTCTTAATGAGGTCTCTTTTGTTCTGATGATCACTGGATTCATTACATAATGAGCTACACACT